TTCATAGGGTCAGGCTGAGTCAGATCCAACTCATTGTCAGCTAGCAAGAACAACAGGCCTATGTCTACTTTACAAGACGAACAATGTGGCAGATCCAACCCCAGTGCTGCTGGAGTTGCTGTGGCGCCATGGCATTGGTTCCAGCCCACAGCGACCCTGATGCACAACAGAGCAAGACACCAGCACAAGTCCTGCGCCATCCTCATAATGCTTCCTACGCTTGAACGCCACCGTTGCAGCCATTGTGCCCATCCATCTGCTCAAGGGCCTTGCTCTTTTTCACCGCCTCTGCTTGACCAAGGACTGGTCTCTCCTGACAACATGTTCGAAGTCTGTATGATGAAGTCTCGCCATCCTTGCCTCTAAGGAGCCCTCTGGCCGCACTTCTTCCAAGACAGAATGGTTTGTCCTTTGGGCAGCCCACGGTACATTCAACATTCTTCTCCAGCCCCACAATCCAAAGGCATCCATCCTCCTGCAGTCTTCCTTACTCATTGCCCCACTTTCACAAGCATAGGAGACAATGGAAAATACCATGGCTTGGGTCAGGCACACCTCAGTCCTTAAAGTAACACCCTTGCTTTTCAACACTCTAAAGAGGTCTTGTGCAGCAGATTTGCCCAGTTCAATGCATCATTTGATCTCTTGACTGCTGCTTCCAGGAGCATTGACTGTGGGTCCAAGCAAGAGAGAATCTTTGACAACTTCAACCTTTTCTCTGTTTCTCATGATGTTACTTACTGGTCCCGTTGTGAGGATTTGGGTCTTCGTTACATTGAGATGAGATCCACCCTGCAGGCTGTCATCCTTGGTCTTCATCAGAACACACCGAATTTTATCATGAGCACATTGAATCCAAAGTCAAAACATAACTGAAAGAGGCAAGAGTCTAGAAATCCCTACCCGGAATCAATTCCAATACCTCCCTGAAACGAACACCCCTTCCAACAAGACTGCACTCTCTTCCACCTGACCATGCATACCCTACTTTTACCTCCTCTGGAACTTTCTGTGAGTTACGCCCTGGAATGTTATTCCACTGCTCTGACCCCCTTCTCTTGAGCTGTTCATTTTCCTGAAGCTGCTGCTCTAACCATTTTTGGGAACCACTGGTCCCTTGGATGAAGTCCACCGCCACACCCGGAGCTGCTCTCTTCCCCCCAGGGGGGATCTGCCCTTTCCCCTAGAAAGATGGAGCACCCAGTTCGATCTGAATTTCAGATAAGGAAGGACTGGTGTTTTGGTGGAAGTATGACCTGTGCAATATTACAGCCATCTTTTTATTTGTGAAATCTGACAACTCTACTTAGGAGATCCCTCTCAAAAATCCATGCGCTGGGTCCTAGTGCACTCTCTGTCTTCCCTAGAGAAACTTCCAACAGTGTGGGATGGCCTAGGTGTGGGTCAACTGTGGGCCCCTAAGTCCCTTTCATAGTAGACCTTCCTATAAATGGAACTCAGCACCTGGGATAGGGATGCCGATTGGACTCCTTCCTGACACCAAGCCAACCCCAAGCCACACTCACTGCCATGGAATCACTGCTGACCCCTAGCGGTCCTATAAGACAAACGAGAACAGCCCCTGTGAGCTTCCAAGACTGCAACTCAGGAAAAACCCAGACGGTGCAACGACCCTGTGGGACAGAGCGGAACGGCCTCCTAGGCCTTCCAAGCCCAACTCTTTATGGGAAGCACGCTGCTGCGTCTTCCTCCCTCGGAGCAGCCGGTGGAGCAGGTGCTTAACCGCTGTGCCACCAGGGCCGCTCTTACTTCCTCCGGGGATTTTGAAAGACCTTCTCTCACAAAGGTCGCCCTTCCTTCGGCCACAGTGAGTGCATGAGCGGTGGGAGTGGAACCCGGACACCTGACAGCACCTCCTCTCCCTAGTCCTGGCCCTCTGAATTAGCAAACACCAGGACTGTGAAGAAGCCTGGGGCAGCACGGCCTGGAGCTGAGACTAGGGTGGGGGCTACAGACCCAGGAGCCAGGGCCGTACCCAGAGGAGTGGTCCCATGGTGGGGAAACGGAGAGTCCACAGTCCCTGCTCCGTTCCAATAAGTGTTGCCTTAAATCCACCTGTTGGCACTTTACACTTGGGCAGTGGCATCTCTGTCCATTCAGCTAGGTCAACGAGTTACTGTCATATGCTATGAGTAGATGTCAACTATCCCCCTGTCTCTATGATTGGCTCCGGACAAACCCTTCTTCCTCTCTCTCCCCCAGAGGGGTACCTCCAACCTTATCACTGCCTTCCGTCTTCAATCTTCAAGATAAAGGACTAGTGGATACAGATTGGGCTGCTAATCTCAAGGTCAGCGGTTGAAAACCACCGGCCCCTCTGAGGGAGAAAGACTCCCAAGGGGTTTCTCCTCCCATGAAGAGTTACAGTCTCTCAACCCACAGGGACAGTTCTACCCTGTCCTATAGGACGCGTGTTACAATCAACCTGCTGGCAGTGAATGTTGGAGTTGTTCTAGCCCCTGCCCACCTCTGGTCCTCTTCCTAGAAGTTTATGCTCTAGAAACACTCATATGTACAGTTACCGTCATGTACTTGGCCGTGATCCATTTCCCTACTGTTGCTTAGACTGGCCCTGCTCGCTCGCTCAAAGGTCTTTTCTTCCCCCATCTCCTGTTGGTGGTGGTGGTGGTCCAGGTCAGAGAGTCAGCCCCAGCTCCTCTCCAACGCACGCGTAACAAAACGCAGCATTGCCCGATCCTGTGCCACCCTCATCAGCCTTGCAGTGCGAGTCCATCGCGGGAGGAGACGCTGCGCCAATTCATCTTCTCATCTCATCGAGGGGCTTCCACCGTTTCACTGCCTCTCTACTTTTCCAAGCATGATGTCCTTCTCCCGGGTCCAGTCGCTCCCGACCACATGTCCAAAGTACATGAGACCAAGTCTCCTCATGCCTTGCTCTCAGGAGTAGCCTGGCTAGACTTCTTCCAAGACAGCTCGGTTTATTCTGAGAGTGCAGGGGACTTTCAGTAGCCTTCACCGGCACCACCATTCAAATGCATCCGCTCTTCTTTGGTCCTCCTTGTTCCTTACCTAAGTCTCACCTGCATGTGCGGCCATGGAGAAACCTGACTCCTTCCTTATTTAAGACTCCACTCGGGCCAGCTTGCCTGTCCTCCCCGGCTCTGTTGACTCAGCTCCCTTCTCCTCCCGCAGTGCATTTGTTCTGTAATAGCGCCTGCCTCAGACGCCTCCACCATGGTATTGCCACAATGAATTCTAGTGACCTGAGTCTGTGGCCTCTCCCCTGCCAGGAAGGACCCACACAACCCCCAGAGCCAGGAGAGTGACATGTTGACTGTGTGTCTTCCCCATTTAAAGTAGAGCTCGGCACAAGCAGGTGCCCAATAAAGATTTGGTGATTTGGGTTTGGCGATTGATGAACGACTGGTTCATGAGAAAGAAATAAGATCCTCCACCCTCAGAGTTGGTGTCGTCTCCTTGATACTGTTAGTTCCCCCCTCCATACCTCCACATCTTCCTTGCTGGGCCGGGCTGACTAGGTCCCAGCGTCCCCGGCCCTTGCCACTGACCCTTGCCTGTTTTCTGCTCTGCTTCTGCTTTGATTTAGAGAAGTCGCCCAGCCTGTGTGCCTTCAGCTAGCGTGTTCCGTGTTCTGCGTGCAAGGGAAGCAGAGGCCACCAGACAGGGTCCCTAACTTGGAAGTCCCCAGCCCCTGGGGGAGTCGGCTGAGTCCAACAGAGAGCGCGCCCTGGACTGTGGGGTTCAATGTTACAGCCGTGACCTAGGCAGCTCTCCATGCAGACTGCCTCCGTTCATACCCCGGCCTCACCGCTTGCAAGGACTTGGACAAGTCACTTACTGACGTTGTTGTTGTTGCTATTGTTGTTGCTGGTAGATGCCATCCAGTCGTTTCCGACCCATAGCACCCCTATGCACAACGGAACGAAATACTGCCCGGTCCTGCACCATCCTCACAAGCGTTCCTCTGTTGGAGCCCCTTGTTACAGCCAGTGCATTTCCCCGGGGTTACAAGAGGGCGGTTGTTACTCTTAGAGGACACGGAGCTGACCCACGGTGACCCCAGGCACCTAGGTGGCCCTGCTCCATAGGGTCTGCATGACTAGGAGCTCTAGGAAGCAGGTGGACAGGCCTGTCTTCTGAGACCCTCCTGGGTGGCTTCAAGCCACCGACCTTTTGACTAGTCGTGGAACTCTGTAGACATTTGCACACACGGACCCCAAAGTAGGGGCAAGACAAGAATTCCTCTTGGGACTGTGTGTGAGGGAGTGAAGGTACAGAGTTAACCGCTGCTGAGGTCGTTAGTTGCCATCACGTTGGCCGTGACCCTCGATGACTTCACACACCACAGAACAAAACTTGCCCAGGCCTGCGCCCTCTTCACAGTCGCCTGTCCGTTCAAGTCTATCGGTTACAGACATTGTGTATTTTGAGTGCCCTGGTAGAGTCGTGGTTATGCTTTGAGCTGCTTACCACAAGGTCCACGGTTCAAAACCACCAGCCACTCCATGGGAGTAAGCCGGGGGTTTCTAGTTCCATAAATGGTTACAGTCTCAGGAACTCACAGGGGCAGTTCTACCCTGTCCTAAAGGGTCCCTATGAGTCAGCATCAGCCTGACGACAGTGACTTTGATGGGGTTTTTCCTGACCTAAAGGTTTGGAGCCCTGTATCCCACCACTGAATCAAACAGTGTTCTATACCCATCCTTAGGGTTTTCATTAGCTAAGTTTTGGAAATCAATTGTCTGGCCTTTCTTCCTAGTCTGTCTTAGTCCTAGTAAGCAACACAGACACCTATCCATCACGGTTGACCCCTGGTGGAACACCAGCCTCAGAGCAAAAATGCAAGCCAGCAGACAGAGAGACAGGGGTGGAATTGGAGCCCAGGGATAAAGTCCCATGGAAAGCCACTACCAACTGGTGTTGCCTTGGGTCTGCCTCGTGAGTTAGCTCCTGTCCCAGGAGCTGCCACACCCTGTGACCCTCTTTCCCTCCCGCAGGGCCGACGACTGCTTTTGTGCCTCTCGGAAGCTGGACGCGGTGGCCATCGAAGCCAAGTTTAAGCAGGACCTGGGCTTCCGGATGCTGAACTGCGGGCGGACAGACCTGGTGAAGCAGGCTGTGTCCCTGCTGGGCCCCGAGGGGATCAACGCCATGAGCGAACAGGTACAGTCTGAGCATCTGAACCAGCCGGCAGCCGGACAGCCTCCCCGAGCCCATGGTAGGAGCCCACAGCTAGGGAATGTTCTAGGGGGCTATGGGGGCAGGTCCCCCTGCTGGTGATGTTGGGCTGGGTTTCTGGGGGTTCGTGTCTGAGTTTTTTTCAATGGAAAATACTCTTTTTCATCTTTGTAGTAGTAACACGTGATCATTGCAGCAGAAGTGGAAAATAGAACAAAATATGCCTGATTCAGAAAGGGGAGAAAAACACCACCCCAGATAGCTGAGGTAGTTAGTTTATTGTACCAGCCTGGCCGATACACACAAGTGGAATTAATTGAAGGGCAGAGAGATAAATGACTTGGTGAGCCGAGCCTCCCTTCTGGCCCACCAAGCCATTTATCTTTCCGCCCTTCAATTAATCCCACTTGTGTATATCGGCCAGGCTGGCACAATAAACTAACGATCTTAATAGCTGTCATGAGTCTATAGGATAATGTCATTTCAGTCCCTTTCCTGGGTGGCTAACATCAG